GCAGGAGCTATTACTTGTGTGTGGTTTGACCAAGTATTTTCCTATTTCTGTTGGATTACATCAAGGATCAGCCTTAAGCCCATATCTTTTTGCTTTAGTCATAGATGTTCTCACTAAACATTTAAAAGAGGATGTACCTTGGTGTATGCTTTTTATTGATGATATTCTTCTTGTTGATAAGACTAGAGAGGGAGTTGAAGGTAAACTTGATTTATGGAGTACAACCTTAAAGTCTACAAGTTTTCGCTTGAGTATATCTAAAACTGAATATATGGTGTGTAATTTTAGTAGTAATAGACCTAGTGAGGGGATTGTGACTTTGGGCGATCAAGTCATTAATAAGAGTACATGTTTTAGATATCTTGGATATATTGTTTAGAGTGATGGTGAAATAGATGGGGATATTATTAGCAAAATTCAAGTTGGATGGTTGAAGTGGAGGAATGCGTCGCGCTTATTATGTTATAGAAAAGTCCCCCTCAAACATAAGGGAAAATTCTATAAGATGGTGGTGAGACCTGCAATGCTTTATGGTGCCGAATGTTGGCCATTAAAAGAGAAGCACAATTCTAAGCGTTGCAGAGATGAGGATGCTCAGGTGGATGAGTGGCTTTACCCTTAGAGATAGGATACGAAATGAGCATATATGTGAAAAGGTTGGAGTAGTAGCATCAATGGAAGATAAGAATAGAGAGAGTTGCCTTAGATGGTTTGGTCAGATAAAACAGCGGCCTTCCGATGACCCGGGTCTTAGAAAAAGTAAGAGGTATTAGAATTGACTTAATGTTAAGAAAGATAGAGGAGACCTAAAAATGAACTGGGTTAGAAAATATTAGAAATGATTCTTTCTTTATTGATTTAAACAAAGAATTGAACTTTTACACAGGGGCACAATGGAGAAAAAGGATTCATGCTAGCCGACCCCAGGTAGTGGGATGATAGAAGGCTTTATAGTTTGTTATGTTTTGTTCTTGTTTTTGTTGTAATTATAAAATCTGTAATTAGCCAAAAGTTTTTTATTTGCAAATGATGTATGCAAACGGGGGGGTCACACAAGTTGAATTTTTCTTGTATTTTCTTTGCTTGTGTCTTTCATCTTCTCCCCCTCTCCTTTTTATTGTTCATATTTCCTTTCATCTTCCATTTGTCCTTGTGGATGTTTGTTGGTTTCATTGAAGGCATTGGCTGGTTTTTCGGTTTGAGCTTAAGAAAGTTAAAACTTTAGTTGTGACAAGCTCGATTAAATCTAGTGGAGAGTAAGCTTCATTATGAGCTACATGGCTTGCTATATAATTTATGAAATTGGAGATACTAGATTCTGGGGTGGGTGGATTTTGCTCTTTCACATCCTTTGTGGAAATATAATTTCTTCAGACCTATTTTCTGCTCAATGGAATGTTCTCGTCACGCTGGCTGCTTTGGGGGTGATCTGCCTCTTCGGGCTGCTGTCTCTTTCCGCCTTGGCATTCCCTCTGTGACGCGAGCATAGATCTGGCCGCCTGGCTTCCCTGTGCTGATCCACGGTTGTATGCTTGTCCCTGCTGGTTCCGTGGCCTGGTTCTTTGGCTCTAACCTGGCGATTAGCAAATGTGCCTCTGGCTTTTCATTTCCTATCTTAAAAAAGGTTGGGAAATTTTGGCTGTTAAGTCCCCGCTCTTTGGCCTATATATTATGAGGTATTTTGTGAAGAAAATGGTTGGTGAATATTTGAGAGCAAGTGCTTACAAAAACCGAGGGTTTTCTTCTTTTGGAAAAGCTTGAGAGCTTTTTCCATTCTCCTTTCCCCTAGGAAAGCTTGCGAGCTTCCCTTTTCTTCTCGTCTTCTAACCTCCTTCTCTACGCAGTTTCCACTCCACCGTGTACCTTTTCTTCTAGTTTCCGTTGGCCGAAGGTTTGTTGGCGATTTTGGGTTGACTGTTTTAGAAAAGCTGTGGGCTGTTTTTTTTTGTTGGCTGTTGGCTGTTTGGTGAAGGTTACGTGGACGGTTGGTGGTATTGCTGGACAGAAGCTAAAAGGACATTGGATACCCCTGCATGTGGTGGACCCTGGTTTGCTATCTAAACCTTATTTTAAAATATTATTCCTAACAATCGGTAACATGTGAGGAGTCCTCTTGAAGGATGGTTCTGAGGAACGTTTTTTTTGTTAAAATATTGTTTTCATGGTTGGGTCTTCTAGTTGTTTTTGTTAGTTGGAAGTTTGTCTTTTTCTAAAGATAGTTGTTTCTTTCTTATTTTGTTCTTCAAAGTTACTCTTAATTTATAAAAAGTAAGAGTTTGTTTCTCGTTAATTGATTTCTCTTTGTGCCTTGCGTCTATTTTGTTTGCCATCAAATTGGTTATCAGAGCAAGTTTAGGAGTCCCCTAGGTTTGTTTTAGTTGGTCAAATTTGAGTCTTGGTGAGTTTTGTCAAAAGTTTTGTAGTCAAGTTTGTCAAAGTTTGTTAGTCAAGTCAAGTCAAGTTTGTGAGTCTAAGTCTAGGTTATTTTTTGTTGTGGCTTTGTTTTTAAGTCAAAAATGAAAAACAAAGAAGCCAATCATCGGGAGATGAGTTCTTTAAAAGTAGGGGAGTTTTGATATGGTTCAGGGGGGGTCAACACTAAGTTGGAATTTTTACTTGTATTTTCTGCCTTGGTCTTATTCTCTTCCCTCTCTCTTTATGTTATATGTCCTTTCTCCTTCCGATTTGTCCTTTGGATGGTTGTGTTGGTTCTTGAAAGGCATTTGGCTGTTTTTCGGTCTTGAGCTTAAGAAGTGTTAAATTTTAGTTTGTGACAAGCTCATTAAATCTAGTGGAGATGTACTCATATGAGGACTAATGGCTTGCTATAATTTATGAATGGAACTAGATTTGTGGCGTGATTTGCTCTTTCACATTCCTTTCGAAATATTAATTTCTTGAGCCTTTTTTCTGCTCTGGAAGTTCTCTCACGGCTGGCTGCTTTTGGGGCGTGAATCTGGCCTCTTCGGGTGCTGTCTTATTCCGCCTTGGCATTCCCTCCTGTTGACGAGCATATAATACTGCCGCTGCTTCCTGTGCTGATTCCACGTGTATCTGTTCCCTGGCCTGGTTCCGTTGCCTGTTCTTTGGCTTTCTTGGATTTAGACAAATGTGGCCTCTTGGCTTTCATTTCTACTCTAAAAAGTTTGGACATTTTTGGCTGTTAAGTTCCCCCTCTTGGCCGATATACTATGAGGTATTTTTTGTGAAAGAAATGGTTGGTGGGAATATCTGAGAAAGCTAAGTGCTTACAAAAACTGAGGGTTTTCTTCTTTGGAAAAGCTTGGAGTAGGCTTTGTCCATCTTCTCCTTCTCCCTAGGGAAAAGCTTGCGCAGCTTCTTCGCTCTTTCTTCTCGGTGCTTCTAAACCTCCTTTCTTCTCTACGCCAACGTTCCACCACAACCTGTATCTTTTCTTCTAGTTCCGTTGGCGAAGTTTGTTGGCTGATTTTGGTTGGCTGTTTTAGAAAAGCTGTGGGCTTGTTTTTTTTGTTGGCTCGCTTGGCTGTTTGGTGAGTTGTGACGGTTTTGTGGTATTTGCCTGGGAGAAGCTAAAAGGGACATTGGATACCCCTAGCCTGTGGTTGGACCTTTGGTTTGCATATCTAACCTTATTTTAAATTATTATTCCTACAATCGGTAATGTGAGAGTCCTCATTGAAGGATGTTCTGAGGATAGTTTTTTGTGTTAAAAATATGTTTTCTTGGTTGGTCTTGCTGTGTTTTGGTTAGTTGGAAGTTGTCTTTCTAAAGATAGTTGGTTTTCTTATCTATTTGTTCTCAAGGTTACGTACTTAATTTTATAAAAGTAGATTTGTTTCTCTAATTGATTTCCTTGTGCCTTGCTCTATTTTGTTTGCATCAGCAAACTAAACCTATTATAAAATTTTAATATTGCAAGAAAGTCTCCTCTAGATTGAAGGGAAGAGGCAAAAGGATTTGCCCACCAACGAAGAGAACCAACTGTGAATGGGTTTTTAATAATTGTATATAAAAGATTTGTAGTTTTTTATTTGAAAAGTATGAAATAAAATCATTTTAAATATGGTTTGATTATTAACAAAAAATGATGTGGTTTAGTGCCTCTTTACAAAATGATATACTATAAATGCCAAAGTGAGCATGGGTGAGCCGTGGAAAAAAGCTTTCATGATAAATGTGACAAGCTAGAGTGAGGTATGTTTCCTAATGATCCATTGTTGAGCTAGATAAATGTGACAAGCCTTCCTGATAAAACTCCAAATCCTAAATTCACTTGTGTGATTTAGATATAGTGCATCATTCTAATTACATTATGAAAACCTAATCCTAATTGTCCTGCATCAATAGTACTGTAATTGACTTGAATGCTATGTAGATTTGATGTCATCCCAAAGGAACCAAGTACTAAAATAAATTAATCATTAATAACTAGGTCCGTTATAATTTAAATAGAAAAATAGTTTGGCTCCAATTACATATTAAAAAGAGGGATTTAAATACATAACACAAATTCTTATATATTTACACATCTAAAACCTCAAAGTTTATGTTTACTTACATAATACTTAAATCCCTAAATCACATCAAAAATATCATTAATATTATCTTAAATTAAAATACACATTTTCATGCATATACTTTTATGTGATTTAGACACCAAAGTGTTATATAAATAAATACAAAGATTTAGTTGATAGACATATAAATACATCAAAATTATTTAGGCAATAAATCCCACAAATAAAAATAGTTAATTTGCCTCAAAAGATATGAAAATTGAGTTGCCAAAGCTAATCCTGAAATTTATAAAGAAATTTAGCACTGCATTCCAATTATTAGGGAATTAAGATTCCTAACTGATAAATCCGAAATAGTCTAGAATTTACCAACCAAAGGCCTACTAGACAAGAAAAATGCCATCATATCATAACAAAAATAAAACAGCATTGCATTCATGTTTAATTAATACTAAATAAATTAAAAGATGGACAAGTAAGAACATAATTACAAGTGAATACCTAGCACTTTGAGCAACCATTCCAACAAGAATTGCAGGCCACGCAAGCCCTCGTATCTAGCAAAAAAAAAAGCATTTAGGTGCTTAAAAAAAATTAATACCATATTCATGCAGAAAACACTACAAAAAGCACTCTTTGAGACTATTTATACCTTCAATGTATGGAAATTAGCGAGGTGTAGAGATTATCTAAGATACAAAAAATAATTTTGTTGTTGAGGTTGATTTTTCAATCAATTATAAGATAAAATAGTTCAAAAAAAATATGTAAATGTCACTTGTTTTGGATATTATGTAAAAACTAAATAAGTTTATGCAACAATAATTGCCCAAGAAAGGGCTGCATATACGGACCTGTATGTAAGAATTTGCGGCTGAAACTAAATGCACATTCCCAGATCCACTAAAAGCTGTTCATGAAGGAGAAACAGAACCATTACAGAAAACAAAAAAGACTCATTACTTTTTCCATAAGGAAAGATTTGATATACATGCAGGAAATCAAACAAGACAACCTCGATGCACAGGCCAAAAGAGAGATGAGATTTCAATCCCTCTTGCTCAATGTCATTGTGCCAGCCACGTACATGTATCTTTCAATCTAACAAACGAAATTTCTTATCTATTTTTATTATTACAAATCAGAATTTCTCTTTTTATAATAAATTTAAAAAAACAATTGAGCAAACAAATCAAAATGAGTAAAATTTTCAAAATAAATTATAAAAACAATATGATGTAGGACTAAATGCATCTGTTGATGTTTTGCCTTTTTGAAATTATACGCCTTTGAAAGAGCTAGAGCAATTAGTCAACTTTCTTGATTTAAACGGTGATTGAAAACAATAAAGCAATGATTTAGATCAAGCAATAGATTACACAACAAAGATTTAGAATACAAAAATAGCCAATCGAATCAGATTTTGTGTAATGTGGGCTTTCCACATAAATCCCTAAATTAACATTCAGAATAGTCACTATGTAAAATCCCTCACTCAACTCCTTGAAGATTGGTGAAAGCGGAGAAAGCTTACATAATCTTTATATCGCCATAATTGAGGATAAACTTAGAAGGGATAAGACTTGGAAGAGAATTCACCTTTGTCAAGATTCGGAAGAAAGTCATCACTGAACGGGAGGGTGTTGTTGGTCGATAGCAGTGGCGAGGAAGAAGAGGATTCTCTCTACGTAGTCTTCAACGGATTGGTTGTTCTCAAAGTCGATGTCGAAGAACGAATATCGGAGGATGTAAGTCAGCCCTTGATCGTCAAAAAAAAATCGTGGTCGTGTTCTAGATCAGCCATTAACACTGTCGTCACCAGGTCCCAAGTCCTGGATGAGAAAAGTGGAGGGTTGCATTAGGTAGTCGACAACCAGCGTAAAACTTCTCGAACAATTATGACATGAATCCTTTAAGAAATTGTGTTAATGTTAGGGCGTTCCCTGGAAGCGACGCGCTGTATGGCATGAATACAGTGACAAGTGTGCAAGGGCCGCTGAACCGGCGCCCGGGTGCAGTG